CCAGAAGACCGGTGGTGCGGCCAAAATTCTAGACGCGTTTTGAGCTCCAGAGTCACTAAACAGGACTCGAACCGAACGTGTGACCCCACCACTGGCCAGCTCTTCGAACGAGGAATCCATTGTTGGGGTCACACGTTCGGTTCGAGTCCCATTTAGCGACTCTGGAGCTCAAAACGCGTCTAGAGTTTCGGCCGCCTCCGCCGGTCTTCTGGCCCACTGTGCGCCGCTGCTGCGGCACTGCCACGTCCGCGTACGGTGCCACGGTGTAGGTGCGCATGCTAACTCGAGACTCCCTCAGGAGGAGGCAAACGCGGCGGAGAAAGGCGGTTCGATGACGTTTACCCGGGCCTAACTACCACTAAGATTCGTGGCCCGGCGTCAACAGCAACATCATCCGAGTAGAGGTGGAAGGCCCTCGTGGATCACAAAAGAGCGGCAGCGAGACGGCTGCACAATGGGTGTCTGACTAATTTGACACCTTATCATTTCGGGAGCAGCTAGCAGTGCTAGCGCGGAGCAGCGGCGTCCGTGTCCGCGCGTCGCTTTCGTCGCTGTCTCCGTCGCACTCGTGGGGCGTTCCGTAAAGGGGTGCGAGAGAGGCAGAGCGACGAAAGCACGGTTCGGAATCAGCAGCCCGCTGCTGCTGCCCCTTGTGTGCCGCGCAGCACCGCTGCAGCTTCTTGACCAGCAGAGTCGTTTTCGTCGCTCTGTCTCTCTCGCACTCATGGGGCGTCCCGTACGGGTGCGAGAGAGACAGAGCGACGGCACTACACTTCCTGCCGGCGTGCTCCATGCTCCGCGCCATCAAGCCGATCATGTGGCGGTGCAGCGCCTTCCCTCCGGCCGTTGTGGTCCTTACAAGGCGATGATGCCGGCCGTGCCGGGCCGGGCGGGTCATCCGAACTAGCCGCGCCTACCCGGCGTACCCGGGGCACCCGGCCCGACCCGCAGTGGGCCAAAAGACCGGTGGAGGCGGCCAAAACTCTAGACGCGTTTTGAGCTCCAGAGTCACTAAGCAGGACTCGAACCGAACGTGTGACCCCACCAATGGATTGCTCTCCGGACGAGGAATCTATTGGTGGGGTCACACGTTCGGTTCGAGTCCTGCTTAGTGACTCTGGAGCTCAAAACGTGTCCAGAGTTTTGGCCGCCTCCACCGGTCTTCTGGCCCACTGTGCGACCCGGCCCGACCCGGCCCCGCGCCGCGCCGCGTGGACCTGAATATAATGCACTGTATGGTGGCCACCGCTGGCTTTCAAAAGTACTTTTCAATCACCCCCACCCACGCCCCCACGTGTTCGTTCATTCACTCACACATAGGCGTGTAACACTACGACACACACGCATCTCGCAATAGAAAGAAAATGAACCCCGCCACACACCGTCGCAGACAGCTCACGTTTGGCGCAACTTTTAATTCAGGGGCGGCTCCATAGGGTTTTCCGAAGGAGGGTGCAATGATTGCCTGCACACGCGCCCAAAGTAGAGCCTTTTGCCTACCTCCCAGGCGGCCTGTCTGGTTGGCGAAAGTCCAGTCTTGAACCTTGAGCGAGGGGTAGATCACTAGTGTACTCATGTGTACAAATTTGCCCGTACTCAGTGTACTCTTAAGTTCAAAAAGAACAAAAATCACTAGTTTTGCGACCAATTTGGCGTTGAGTGCCGTTTAAAACGCTGAATAAAGTCTTATAATGTTTTCAATTGTGAAATTTGTGAGTAAAACAAGGTGTACTCACCCGTACTCATGTACTCATGTGTACACTAGGACGCTGTGTGATTCACCCCTCGACCTTGAGTACGCAAAGGATTCCTCGTTCGAAGAGCGATCTATTGCTGGCGGTTCGAGACCCCTTTGGCGACTCTGGAGCTCAAAACGCGTCTAGAATTTTGGCCGTCTGCGCCGCCGGTCTTCTGGCCCACAGTGTGCCGCGGCCTGTCGGCCTGCCTGCGGCTCGCAGCAACAAAGGTCGGTCGGACCGATGATCCACGACTCGTAATAATAAATAATAAGGCCGGCGTTTTGGCGTGTCTCTGGGCGACGATATTAAACGCGGTAAACGGTCGGCCCTCGTCATTTCATTATTTGGTTGTTTCGTTATGCCGCATCTGAATGTGAACGCGAATCGACGTGGCTAATAACAAGGTTGGCGCTGGACGCGGCGTGGGACCCGCTTCGCCGCCGCCTCGGACTTGGGACCGTCCTCCTCCTGATGCCTCGCCATGCCTCGCAGATGGTGCGTGCGTGTGTGTGTGTGTGTGTGTGTGAGTATGTGTGAGTGTTTGCCGGAAAAGCTCGGGCTCGTTTAATCGCCATAACAATGACGACACACTTGGCAACACTGACAACAAACACGAAACAAAACGACTTGGTTAATTGCGACGATGGGGCGGGTCTGGTTCGCGCCCCCGTCCGCACCGTCCGGCTGCTCGACTTGGACAGACTAGTGTAGGAGGCCTCCCCCCTCCACACACACACGCGCACACGTGCACACGCCCCTCTCGCGACAGTCAAGCAGGGGTGGGCAAGGTACTGTCGGTTCTGTACCTAGGTACTGTACCGGTAAAATTCAAAAGTCAGTACCTAGGTACTGTATTCGGTACTCGAGCAAGTCCAGTACCTAGGTACTTTACCGGTACTCTCGAAAGTACCTAGGTACTTTTTAGGTATTTTTCAGTGCTTCAATAGGTGGACTTATTCGGGCACAACACGACATCACGAAAGGGACATCAATTGTTTTCGTTCCTTTTAACTTTCTTGCGTCAATGACCCATCGTTTGTTTTGCCGTCTCGCCGCGGTCTTCTGGCCCACAGTGTGCCGCGGCCTGTCGGCTGCCTGCGGCTCGCAGCAACAAGGCCCGGTCGGACCGAATCCACGACTCGTAATAATAAATAATAGGCGCGCGTTTTGGTGTCTCGGGACGATTTAACGCGGTAAACGGTGGGCCCGCTCGTCTTTATGGATTTGGTTGTTTCGTTATGCCGCATCTGAAGTGAACGCGAATCACGTGGCTAATGACAAGGTTGGCGCTGGACGCGGCGGGGGCCCGCTTCTCCGCCGCCTTCGGACCTTGGGACCGTTCCCCCTTTCCTCCCATGCCTCGCAGATGTGGTTGTGTGTGGCGTGGAGTATTGTGAGTGTTTGCCGAAAACTCGGCTCGTTTAATCGCCATAACAATGACCGACACACTTGGCACACTGACACAAACACGAATACCAAAACGACGGTTATTCGGTGGCGGGTCGGGTTCGCGTCCCCGTGACCTCGGCTGCTAAGACTTGGAAAGACTAGTGTAGGGGGCCTCCCCCTCCACCACTTACGCGCACACGTGCACACGCCCCTCTCGCGCAGTCAAGCCTCATGCCTCACACGGCGTCGCGGGCGTCCTTGTCCTTCGGTCCCTTCGGTCCTTGGCGCTGAGCTCGGCTTATTGAGCGATCCCTCCGCCACCTGCTTGGCCTGCCTGGCCCCGGCGGCCCGCGGGCTGATTCCGGCCGGGGCTCTCCGTCTCTCTCGCGCACAGTGGGCCAGAAGACCGGTGGAGGCGGCAAAAATCCTAGGCGCGTTTTGAGCTCCAGAGTGACTTAGTGGGACTTGAACCGAACGTGTGACCCCACCAATGGATTCGAATGGATTGCTCTCCGAACGAGGAATCCATTGGTGGGGTCACACGTTCGATTCGAGTCCTGTTTAGTGACTGAAGCTCAAAACGCGTCTTGAATTTTTGCCGCCTCTACCGATCTTCCGGCCCACCGTGCGTGTGAGCCGGCTGATGTGACAAGCATTAGGCCGGCTAGGGGCGCGGCATTGCAATAAGGGCGGCCTGCCCCATCTCTATCCATCTCTCTCCATCTCCGTAATGCGCGGCATCCATCACACATCAACATATCGCCCGCGGACGCCGCGGGCCCGCCGGGCTGCCTCCGAAGAGAGTCCTCATTTGTCCGCCGCACCGCGCCTCCCCCGAGACCGAGAGAGAGAGAGAGAGAGAGAGAGAGAGAGAGAGAGAGAGAGAGAGAGAGAGAGAGAGAGAGAGAGAGAGAGAGAGAGAGAGGGAGAGACGACCCGCACGTGACCCGCGGAAGGCTCACGAGGCCCGCGGGGTCGCGGCAAGTGCGTGCGGGTGAGTCGATAAAGGTTCAGCGGACCGATTCCGAGGGTCCGTTTTCGTCGCTCTGTCTCTCTCGCACACGTAGGGAACGTCCCATGAGTGCGAGAGAGACGGAACGACGACGGCGACTCTCGGAATCAGTCTGCAGCCTCCCTCCGATCCGCCCCGCTTCGACACGCACCGCGTTTTGCGGGCGCGTCGTGGGAAACTTTATCATTGCCGTGAAATAATGGCGCACCAGCTATCTCTCTATCTCCATCTCTCTCTGCCCTTCAAAATGAGGGAGATTTTGCAGTTTTCTCGATTTTTCTCGCGTCTGCCGCGGCAGGCCGCGGGACTGAGTGCCCGACCTATCGGCCACAATTTTTTCAACTTTCAATTCTTCTCCCAGATTTTTGTTTCACAACATGTGTCACCTGGTGTAGTGGGGAATGACTGACACCAGCGCAGCCGAGCGTTTCAGAAGAGCGGTGTGACACTCTGTCTCTCTCGCACCCTGCAACCTCATGATGGTGAGCCCCATGTATGGGACAGAGGCAGAGCCTGGCAGAGCGAAGAAACGTCTTTTCTGAATCACAATGGAGCGCCCGGCTAGACTACTTCCCTCCGCATGGAGCTGCGCGAAGTGATGCCTACCTCGCAGGCGGACCAAAGTGGGCCGGGCAGAAGCACGGACAGACGGCTGTATTGCAGCTCGCAGCAGGCTCAGGTTGGCTCAGAATTTTTTTCTGAGACTCGGCTAGCTACTCATATGTCTCTTTTATGCTCGGGTAGCCTCAGAACTCACGTGTAACACAATTTGCAGCCCCTGTGCGTAAAGACCTGAAAGACGTTGAGACGCAGTGGAAGTTTCTCATAGCACTAACTGCAAGTGAAGGTATGGTGGTGGAGGGAGTGGAGGGGGGAAAGGGTTAAGGGTTGATCCTCTGTTTCTTTTCGACAACAAACAGGGTTGAATAACACATAGTTTTGTATCGTTTATGCTTCACCCGTTTGTAAAGAAACTGTTTCATGAGGCCATGCACTTCAGCAAAAAGGATTTTCTCTAGTTTACATCATTGACTCCCTGGAGCGGCCGAGTAGAGAACCAAAATGTCATCCAAAAGGAAACCGGATTCCCAAGTGCCGGCAGAAGAAAGTGATCTTCTTCAAGTCCGACCACTGTAATTACATTTTTCTTTGTTTTCTCTGTATTTAAAAGCGTCCTATTCCATCTCCTTCGAATCTGTTCCGGTGTCATTACTCCTGTGTCCCGAATATTTTAATATATTGCAAGAGGTTATGTGCCACTGTGCTGCAATGTCAGTAAATTTTAGTTTCCCTTTTAACCCTTTTGCCCTTCTTTCAGAGGAGCCGGTCAGGAAGTCGGACGATCATGCATAATGATAGAATTCAAAGGAAAGAAAATAATGGTGAGTTCTCAATGTCACTGCTTTTACGAATCTGGTTATGTTTGTTTACCATTCATTTGCATTTGCAGCTCGATTGCGGAATACACCCAGGTTTATCTGGAATTGATGCCCTACCATTTGTCGACTTGATTGAAGCAGATGAAATTGATCTTCTTTTAATCTCTCAGTAAGCCTCTTTGTATTCTTTGGGGAAAATTTTCTAGTTTTATTTAGCTTTGCATGCATTTAAGTATATTATTTTGAGATTTTCTCATTTTGAAAGCTTTATGTATCTTATGGTTTACAATCTATCCCACTCAGCTTCCACTTGGATCATTGTGGTGCCTTGCCTTGGTTTCTCCAGAAAACAAGTTTCAAAGGTCGATGTTTCATGACACATGCTACCAAGGCCATCTATCGCTGGCTGCTTTCTGATTACATTAAAGTCAGGTAATGTTTAGCATTATTGGGCAACATATATTTTAACTATGTCAACTTATTTTATCCCCACAATATAATTAAAAGAATATTTGTCTATAATTTTTCAGCAATATTGCTACTGAGCAGATGTTGTACACTGAGGCTGATTTAGAAGCAAGCATGGACAAAATTGAGGTCCTTAACTTCCATGAAGAAAAGGATGTTCTTGGTATCAAGTTCTGGGCCTATAATGCTGGTCATGTCTTAGGTGCTGCTATGTTCATGATTGAAATCGCTGGTGTCAAAGTAAGCACTGTTGGTATGTCTTCTTAAATGTATATCTCTAGCTTTTGACACTCTGATTTGCTTGCTATCCTCCAGATTTTGTACACTGGTGATTTTTCACGTCAAGAAGACAGACATTTGATGGCAGCTGAAATTCCAAATGTCCATCCTGATGTTCTTATCACAGTAAGTCCTGGAGTTATTTTTTTAGAGTTTAGAAAAAAATTGAGACAAAATCGTGTGCTTGCTTACATTTATTACTTTTAATCCCAGGAATCAACTTATGGAACACACATCCATGAGAAGCGAGAAGACCGTGAAGGAAGGTTCACATCTCTTGTACATGATATTGTCAACAGAGGTGGTCGATGTCTCATACCAGTGTTTGCTCTTGGGAGAGCACAAGAGTTATTACTAATCTTAGGTATTTCTTGATTTCAAAAGTGTATCTTTGTCTCCTGAGTGCTCCAAATTTGATTTGATTTTGATGTTCAATGCAGATGAGTACTGGAGCCTACATCCAGAACTTCATGATATACCTATTTATTATGCATCTTCTTTGGCCAAGAAATGTATGGCAGTATATCAGACATACATCAATGCCATGAATGACAAAATCCGTAGACAAATAGCTATTAGTAATCCATTTGTATTTCAACATATATCTAATTTAAAGGTAAGTGGAATTTTTTTGAGATTGCAGTATTTTTTAAAGCAATAAAGTTTGATCCAATAACAATCCATCCATTTTCGTGTAACTATTTTTTATCTATTTCTTAGGGTATTGATCATTTTGAGGATATTGGTCCCTGTGTGGTTATGGCCTCGCCTGGTATGATGCAAAGTGGATTGTCTCGTGAACTCTTTGAGTCATGGTGCACAGACACCAAAAATGGTGTCATCATAGCAGGTTATTGTGTTGAGGGAACACTAGCTAAAACTATTTTGTCAGAACCTGAGGAAATTGTCACAATGACAGGTCAAAAGCTACCTTTGAAAATGTCAGTGGATTACATTTCATTCTCAGCTCATACTGACTATCAACAGACAAGTGAATTTATCCGAGCACTCAAGCCACCTCATGTAGTCTTAGTTCATGGTGAACAAAATGAAATGAGCCGTCTGAAAGCTGCTCTGCAAAGAGAGTATGAGGATGATCCAACAACAAAAATGGAAATCCACAACCCGAGAAATACTGTAGCTGTTGAGTTGTATTTCAGAGGAGAAAAAACAGCCAAGGTAAATCATTTTGGACATTATTTGTCCAGCTTAAAATTCTCTGTACCTTGTCATATCTAATTGGAATTTTCTTTAAAAAATTTCAGGTCATGGGCTCTCTAGCTGTTGAGAAACCAAAGCCTGGCAATAAGCTCTCAGGAGTTTTAGTCAAACGCAATTTTAATTACCACATGTTATCACCTGCTGATGTGCCAAAGTACACAGATATGAGAATGAGTTCAGTCACCCAGAGACAGTCTATTCACTACTCAGGGTCTGTTCCTCTACTAAAACATCTGCTGGCACAAATATCAGGAACTGTTGAACCAATCGACGAACACAAGATTCGTGTCTTTAACAGTATTGATATCAATATAGAAAACAAAATTGTTACAATGGAGGTAATATCCCATTACAGTTTAAAAATGAAAGAGGCTCAAGACTTCCATTAAGTTTTCTGTATTAATTTTTTATATTCTTCACAGTGGTCTGCTACTCCAGTAAATGATATGTATGCTGACTCTGTCCTAACTGCAATACTCCAGGCTGAAAATTTGGATTCGTCTCAGAAAATTCATCCTGCAGCCACAAAGTTGGATCGCATGCACTTCAAAGAATGTCTCATTGAGATGCTGCAGGATATGTTTGGTGAAGATTCCGTTCCCAAAATTTTCAAAGGAGAAAAGCTCTATGTCAGTGTGGATGGAAAGAAGGCCAACATTGATCTATTAAATTTGGTAAGTTTTCATCAAGAATAGTATCTATAATAATTAAATTACAAAACTTCATTGAAGTATGTCCTGCTCAACACCCCTTTCACTTCCATTTCTATTTTACAGGAAGTATCCTGTGAAGAAGATGAAACATTCCAGCAGATAATTCAAACCGCAGTCACCAAGCTTCATCAATCTCTAGCGCCTGCACATATTTAAAAATTGAAAGACAAAAATGAAATAGAAATCATGTACAGTACCATGAACTTTCAATAAAACTTGCCACCACACACTACCCATTGTTTTCTCAGTCTTGGAAACATCTCACCATTACAAGTTGTCTTGTAATTTTATAAAGCTCTGGCCGCTGACGTTACTTTCCATTACGATAAGCAAACGTCGCCTCGGGCAACTCTTTGCGGACCACTGGCCAGTCTCCCTCGACCTATGCAACAACACTGGGGGAAGTACGGCGGCCAAAAGTCAGAGTTTTCCATTCTCAGCACGGTTCGCACCAATTTTTCAAATTCGTTCCTTTTCGTTTTATCGGCGACACTCGATAAGACGGTTCCAATTAGCCGGATGATGACGTTTGTCTCGCGCTCGACTCACTGAACTTCAAAGTACGCGCGCTCCCCGCCCCCGCACCCCCCTTTCCCTGAGCCTCCCCTCCCCCACTCTCGCACCTCTCCCCTCCCTCCCATTACCCGCCCCCTTCCCCCTCTCCTCCCTCTCCACTGTGCGCACTTGTGGAGCCGCCGGCTGAACTTTGACCAGGCTCAGTTTGTTTTCCCTCATTCCCATCATATCCACCTTTCATCGCGCTGGTTGTCTGTCTGGCGAGCCGCTCGAAGGTCCACCCACAACCCAGTGCTCTTTGAGACCGCACCTCGTGACTTGCGCTTTGAGCAAACAAGTTCAACATCATGTCAGCCATCACAAAGGGTAATGTTAATGAAATCAAATTGACTATGGTTGCAAAGCTTTGCTGTCGCGGTATGACTTCGAGCCTGGTATTCGCCTGGGCAAACCTCATGATCATTTTCAGATTTGTCTATTCTCTCATCTTGTCCTTGTCGTAACTTGCATGAATCTAGTGTAGCGCTAACCAAGTTGAATTTGTAGGAATATTCATCGTTGCTGCCAAGCGCACACCATTTGGTACATATGGCGGCAAGTTTGTGCAGAAGAGTGCAGCGGATCTTCAGCTGACCGCTACCCAAGCTGCTTTGGCTGCTGGAGGCATCAAACCAGAGCTTGTGGACTCTGTAGTCTTCGGAAATGTGTTGGCTGTGAGTTCCATTCTTCCACCTTACGAAAACGGTGCTAATTTTACTTCCATTGTGTCAACTAAATGATTTTTAAAACACATTTCAGATAACTTCTCCTGATTCAATTTTCATGGCACGCCATGTGGCACTGCGAAGTGGTATTCCAATGGACAGACCTGCTCTCGCCGTGAACAGGCTATGTGGTACTGGATTCCAGTCTGTAGTCAATGGAGCCCAGGTAATTGCCATTTGTCCGGCTGAAGCACAGCAACTGTAATTTACGTCACAATGGCCTTCTGAAAATTTCCTGTACATTTCATGTTATTTCAGAGTATTCTTGTTGGTGATTCCTCTATTGTTGTGACTGGAGGCGTTGACAACATGAGCCAGGCTCCTCATGCTGTAAGGAACATCAGATTTGGTGTAGGCCTAGGGGCTCCTCTGCAATTGGAGGACACCCTCTGGGTTGGACTTACCGACACTTATTGCAAGATGCCCATGGCAATCACAGCAGAAAACCTGGCGGAGAAGTACAAGATCAGCAGACAAGAAGTCGACGAGTTTGCTCTTCGTTCCCAGCAGCTGTGGAAGAAAGGTGCGTAGAAACTTTCCATGAATCCCGGACACCTCACCACATGTCACAAGCCTCTACACTAGTAAGAGAGTAGGAGTGAGGTTTCTCAAATTCACTCACTAATATTGTTGTTCATTCACAGCTAATGATGAAGGCCGTTTCAATGAAGAACTTGCTCCGGTAACTATCAAAGTAAAGAAGCAGGATGTCCAAGTCACTGTTGATGAGCATCCCCGCCCTCAGACAACTATTGAGGGTTTAAATAAGCTAAACACTCTGTTCAAGAAGGATGGTACTGTCACTGCTGGAAATGCCTCTGTGAGTACTGACAAGGGACTTAGTTTTCTTGGGGATGTACATTCAAAAGATTTTAACTCATGTTGTTTCCTCCTCAGGGAATCTGTGATGGTGCTGGCACAATCATTCTGGCTAGTGAGGAAGCCGTGAAGAAGCATGGTTTGACTCCTTTAGCTCGCCTTGTGGCATATTCAACTGTTGGTGTTGAGCCAAGCATCATGGGAATTGGACCCGTTCCTGCTATCCAGAATGTCCTGAAAGTAGCAGGAAAGTCTTTGAATGATATGGACCTTGTAGAAGTAAGTGTGTGAATGCCTCTCCATAATCCATTTTTTTGCTCGACTGAGGAACATTGATAAAAATTTCGCCCTGCCCTTACAGATCAATGAAGCTTTCGCACCTCAAGCTTTGGCCTGTGCCAAGGAGCTCAAGTTGGACATGAACAAGCTGAATGTGAATGGTGGAGCCATTGCTTTGGGTCACCCTCTGGCTGCGTCTGGTGCGCGTATCACTGCTCACCTTACTCACGAATTGAGGTAAGCCCCTCAGATTCAAGCGTCTAGGTCTACTTGTTACTTTTGATATATGTGTTTTTTAATATACCTTTATTAAAATTTTTTGTTTCGTAGGAGGAGGAAAGCCAAGTTCGGTGTCGGTTCTGCCTGCATTGGTGGTGGCCAAGGTATTGCACTTCTCCTCGAGTCCGTGTAAGAATACCAAGAGTGCAAAGTCTGCTTGATGTAATTTTTAAGATCCAAGTCTGCGAGTCTGCTCAAACCACATCACGCTTAACAGTATTTTATAAAATCAAGTCATTTTTTTAAAACCCTGGCCTTTTACATGTTATTGTTGATTTGTTATTGATGGCCTCTGTGTCTTTTCTAAAAGTTTTTTTATGATGAAATATTTTTATGAATAAAAATGATTAAATGCAAGTTTATTTCTTTACTCAAAAATGTTAACAACTTCATCTTTCATTTATATTTATTCCCTGGAATCTGAGGAATTTGAAGAACCTGACCTAACACGGCTTCTCTTTTTTCTTCTTTTTTCTTTGCGATGTGATTCTCTTCTAGATTTACTTCCCTTTTTCAGTTTGTCATTAAGAACTTCACTATTTTTCATGTTCTCCTTCTGGGATGCCTTGTCATGAGATTTATCCTTTGCCCCAACAGACGAGGAATCCTGAGACAGGCTCTCATCATTTTCCAAACAGTCTCTCTCTCTGTAGTCTGTGTCCCTTTTAGAAATTCTTTTTTGCTCCCCCTTGTGGCTGTAATCTTTTTCTTCACCCTTGCGTACCTTCGCACGCAATCGTTCTCTACTCCTATCTCTGCTGTAATCCTCTCTTCGCCTACTACTCCTTCTTGAAGAGCGATCTTTCTGGTCACTTCGGTGAGACCGCACACTATTGGCACAGTCTGTCGAAGACCTGTGTTCCAGTGGAGGGGAGGGAGATGGGGACCAGCGCCAATCTCGCCGTCTGCAATTCGAAAATCAGAAGAAATAAAAATTACACTTGGTCAGGCAACTTCCCAACAAGGTAAAGTGGTTTGAAGGCCAGACTCACCGGTGGGAGTTTGGAGGGCTTCCAGACCAGGATCTGTCGCGGGACCGCCGGCTGCGGGAGGAGGGTGTCAGGTCACGGTCACGTTCACGCTGCTGCTTGCGCCGCCAGTCCTGCTGGTCGCGGTCGGCAGCATAGAAGGCGTTCCGTGGGTTGCGGAAAACGTGTAAAAAATTGCAAGCCCGTCCTTTGGGGCAACAGTTCTTGTGAAACTGACCTACAAGTCAAAAGTTTTATCAGCACCAAAAGCGCCTGGTAGCAAAAATACAAAACAGTAGTTTTATGATATAGCTCACCACAAATGGCAGCTTTCCAACTATCAATCGTTACAAATTCAACATTTATTTGCTTCCCTCCATAGAAGCGTCCATGAAACATTTTGAAAGCTTTAACTGCATCTTGCGCACTCTCATACTCTATGTACACATTGCCTCGGAGGTGAGGTTCAAAATTGCAACAAACTTTGAACTGGGAAATTCTTCCAACACGTTCCCATTCTGGAAGCACGTCTTCATAGAAATCACTGTGAAATCAAAAAAAGCTTTAGTCAGGATAAAGATTAGCAGCCTCCAGAATGAACTTGAAATTAGCAACTTACAGGAAGTGGTGATATGTTTCAGAATCTTCATATTCTAGCCAATCATCAGCTGCTTCAAGTTCATCAGGATTCATTTGACGTAGTCCAATGTGGTCATAGAAACCAGGTACAAGTAAAACTCTACTGATAGCAGGTCTTGTATGATTTCTAGTGAAAGAGGGGGAAAAAATCATATATGAAGTAATAGATCCAGCATTGCAATGAACAAAATATTTGCTTACTACATACCGTGAACACCTATCACTAAATCTACAGGCACCAGTCTTGGTGAAAAATGGGCAAGGCGGTCTATCAGGATTTGATGATGAAGCCACATTTACCTCAGGAGGCATTTCCCCACCCTACACCACAACAGCAAAATTAGAAAAACATCACATATTTGTACCATGAGAAAGGACGCCTTCATGTTTGAATCATCATTAGAAATGCATGGTGGTGAACAGGGCAACATACCTTATTAATAAAGTTTTCTATTTGCCTCATCAGCTCCTCCTGTGAAGTCAATTGTTCAGCTGTTAGTTATTTCCATAGAAACACAACAATGGAAAAACTCCACTAAGTGGATCAGTTACCTGTTTCTGTTGTTTCTCTTCTGCTATACGCTCCTGTTCTTTCTTGGCTTCTTTAAGTTTACGTTGCTCCTCTTCCCATTCTTCCTTTATACGAAGCTGCAAATTTAAATTAAGATATTTCAGAAATGCAGAACAAAACAGATGATCCAAAACATTGGCCAACTATAGGAAGTAACCTCTTGCTTTGCTCTTTCAGCACGAGCCAGTTTAAGGCGTTCTTGACGATCTCTCCAAGCTTTTTCGGCTCGTTCCTCTTCAGCCAGCCAAGCAGCATTTCTTTCAGCTGACAGACGGGCTTCTTCTTCTTCAGCAAAAAGTTCTAGAGCTCTTTGCTCTGAAAGCCATGCCTGATACTTTGGAGAATTTTCTTTTCGTTCTTGTTCTAAACAAAAAGTAACATGTGTTGCAAAGAACAAGTGTTGTCCATCATGATTTTAATTGGAACACTATCACATTACAACTGTAATAAAAGTGTAATAAAAGTAATTAAGTGACAGTAGACAGCTACCTTTCTTCAAAATTTCATCCCTTTCCTTAGCTAATTTTTGGCGAATTTTTTTCCTTCTCATCTTCTTTGCTTGAGCCCTCCATGTTCGGTGGCTGTAAAAGAGGAGGTTCACTTAATATATGTACATGAATTGGGACACAATACAACATTCTTAACATGTTTTTATTGGTGGAACAATAAATTCATTGTAAATTATCATGGATTGGAAACACTCCAAATGGCCAGCTTAGAAGCATGTCATGGCTTGCTACTTTCTCTGCATTTCACTAAAGGTCATAAAATTATATTTCATAAACTATTTACTGTTGCTACTGATTAGATAATTTGGTAAACTACAATCTATGCATGGGCCATCCTTATCCTAACACAGGCTTAACCTCACAACCAAGATGATCTACATTTAGTAATGATTTTTAAAACTGTCATTTGAATCAAAATTTAATCACCTTCCCATGCTGGAATCTCTGATGCCAGCATTTACGCAAATCCACCTTGAGACATTAAATCAGCAACAATCAAAATTCAACTTGAAGTTCTCATCGTTTTCACTGTTTTCGTTTTCATCTCCAAAACAAAACACAAAACAACAACAACTGCCTTCTAGCCAAACGCTAACTGTTTTCCACTTCTAAAGCATTGTTTTGCTTTATTTGTCCTGTTTTTATGTTTTAAAGTAACTTATCGAATGTTAAAAATCACCTTATAAAATTTAACATTGTTTGAGAAGGGAAATAAATTTTATTTGGGCGGCATTTGATGATTTGATTCCATTTAAATTTTCCGGTCAGTTGTGGTCCACTTTTCAACCAATCAGAGACCGTGCCGAAGTCAGCCAATGGGAGCGAGGCTTGACTGAAATTCAAAAGCGGCGAGCAGTGAAAGGCGAGGCCAACAAGTAAACGGTTTTGCGCTCTTCTCCCGTCACCCGCCGTTTTCCGTTATCGTGGCCGCTGTGTAATTGTCAATTAACGTTAATGTTTAGTTAATGTAATTGGCATCAACATGAAGAACGGTGAAGAGATGGACCCTGAAATGTGAGTACAACCTTTCGCTTTTTACAACTTTGAACGATATACGCACTTTGCAGCGGTTTCGTCGGAAGCCTATTTTGCCTTTTCTGGTTTTGAATGCCTTCCGTCTGTTTTTCGCCTACGGTTATTGCATGACGAGGCCTTGGAAGCCTCGCTTCATGCCCAGCTTTCTAGTAAAGAAACTCTTAGCTCGCTCCTCGAAATTCCGGTGGATAGGGGGCGTTTACCTGGTTCTGTTTCGATATGGTTATGGTGAGGGCGGCAGGGGACACTTTTCAGTTCACCATACTCACCAGTTCACCACACATGTGTCCGCGATTCCAGGTGTGCTGTCTCCCAGGAGATAGTCGAGGCGCAAACGCGAACCTTGAAGGAGCTTGGAGCTATTTGGTCCGACATGGGAGTTCATGGTGAAGCGAAGACTGCAAGGCTCTCTGCTGTTCGTACTCATGTGTTGGTGAGTGTTGCATTGTTATCTCTTTCTGCACATCATTTGCACCTTAGCCGTCAAGTTTTTAACTGTTTCTTTATGTTTCTATAGCGTCTTTTCCAAGATATGGTTGATGAAGAGGAGAGCAACAAATTGATCATTATACAGCGAATTGAACAACATTTGAAAGATCTAAGCAAGCTAAGAAAGGTATTTTAAGTTTGTTTTTTTCCCAATGGATAGTAATAATAAGGTAAACAGAAGCTAAAGCGTTGTGCAACTTTCAGGAACTGTCTGGTGACACATCATGCTCTCCAGATGAAGGCTTAGATAGTGCACCACTGTATCAAGTGGAGAAGTGTCTGAGAGAGAGGTGGGAAAACTTGCAGAAGGTGAAAGAAGAACGCATCGAGCAGCTTGTTGAATTGCAGAGGAGGGTAAGCAAATAATGTTTTTGTCTGGATGGACATTGTGATTTGACAGTTAATTCACTAGTGTTTTTCTTTGACAGCTTGATGATGTCCGGTACAGACTGGGAAAAAATGACTCCTCTCCCTACAATGGTGGAATCACTGAGTTGGAGCTTGAGGCTTTGAAGTGCCGGGTAACATTACATGAGCAAGAAAGGGTGTGTATTTGAGCATAATGTTTGATAGATTTTATTCCCTCCTGCTTTGTTTTAATCATATTTGTGTTTATTTTTAGGACCGACTGCAAGCATCCTTTGAGGAGACACAGTCAGCTATACAGCAAATCTTCCATGATCTTGAGATGACTGCTACTTTTCCATTTGATAAAATGGTATTGTCAACACCTCCTAATGCCTTTGTTTTTAGTCCGGAAAACATGGCAGCACTCAAGGTCAGTATTTTGTGTTTGTTTTTTGCTCATCAAAGACTTTGTTTTATTTTTTGTTAATGTTGTCTTTCCTTCCAGAAATTACACCAAAACATGGAACAGAAATTATCTGATGCTAAGCATGATGCCACTGAACTTCGTGAACGCCTAAGCAATTTGTGGGAGCGGCTCCAAATCTCTTCACATCACAGGGAAGACTTTTTGCATGCACACCGTGGCTACTCTGTTCCCACTATTACAGCGGTATGTACTATAAGACAAACCCACCACTCTGCTTATTACTGATGATACATTTTAATTGATACAATATTATGTTGATCATTCTAGTTTAAAGAAGAATTGAAAAGGTGTGAAGCCATCAAAAGGGAAAACATTGAAAACTTTGTTCTTCAACTGAGACGGGAGATAAGCAGTTGGTGGGATAGGTGTCACTTTTCCAAAAGTCAAAGGAGTGAATTTAGAGCTTTTTATTTTACTGACTTCAATGAAGACGTCCTTGAGCTGCATGAACTTGAAGTAAAGAAACTTAAAAATTTCTATGAAAATAACAGGTATTTGAATGTTTGCATGTAACTGCTACTGCATTGTGTGTTACATTCAATTTGGACTTCAACCTGATATTTTTTTCATTGTTTGATAGGGATATATTCCAACTAGCTGATCAAAGAGCTGAACTGTGGGAACAGATGCATGAACTTGAAAAGAGAGCGAATGATCCCAACCGCTACAACAACAGGGGTGGTCAACTTCTTCGTGAAGAAAAGGAAAGAAAGACCCTTGCCAAGGTATGTACATCCAAAGGTGCATGTGACATTTGATAGACCTCTTGAATTTTATTTAATGTCACTTTATCATATTTTTGTTATGTAGACTCTACCCAAGATTGAGCAAGAACTTAGAGAACGGTTAGTTGCTTATGAGCAAGCCAACTACACTCCTTTCTTAATAAATGGAGAAAATCTTTTGGAGCTGATTGACCAACAAAATGAAGAAAGACATGGGTTAAAGGAGTTACAAAAGTACCAGAAGGTAATGATTTTAATCCTCAGTTTCTTGTTGTTGGGTTTATTGTCTGTGACCTGCTCCAAATATGTCTTTCTTTTTTTCTCTCTCTCTCTCCAGAAGGTGAACAGAAACCACATGCTGGAAATTGAGTCCAAGTTGGGAACAAAGGCCACAACACCAACATCTGTAAAACGGGGAAGGCTGGGTCCTGCCACACCAAGTGTTAGTAATATTTTTCGCATCTTATCATTTATCTTTTATGACACTGTTTGAAAAGCTCATGATATGATGGAAATTATTTTCAGATGCTTGGAAGCAGTCATAAGACCTTGACCTTAGCTCCCCCTCACAGTGCTCCTCAGCGAACTCTGACATCAAAGCGGAAGGCTGAGATTTCACCGCAGTCTAATGTAAGCAAAAAAAGTAAAGGGGGAAGGAAATCCAGTGAGAAGAAACGTTCTGGCAACAAGTCAGGGCCCCGCTTCAGTACTTCCAAAATTCGGCGCTACGGGAAGGTTTGTCCCATGCAAAATTTGAGATCCAACGAGTGTGTGGTGGCCTAATTTCTTCAAGCGAGTGCCTTTATTAATGACTTAATTTTCTCGGCTGAGCTCAAGCTTTTCAGATGCTTTGACCATGACCATTATTAACAGTCAAATGCATAGCACAATTGAAATAATAGTTGTATCATTTATTCACAATGTAGTATGAAGTGATTTAATTTGAGTGTTTATGATGTGTGCATGAATTCCTTTGTGCTATGTTGTACCTGCACTCTATCTCAAGAGTTCATGTAACATATTAAATTCTTTCATTCATTATTGCTCAGCAGTTTTTATTGCATGTGCATGACTTTATTTTACACCTTACAGTCAGTTACTAGAGAAACATTTTTGTACTGTCAAAGCACCTCAGTTGTCCTCTTTAATTTTTTTTTTGCACCTAGTGTGATTTTCTTATTCTGCATGTTGTATTTTTGTTTGAGAGTGCATGCTCTGCATTGGTCACCCTTTATTTTTGTAAATACTGCGGTCTGCCATAAAATGGAGCATTTGTATTTATGATAGTTGTGCTTTACCTTATGCTGTGTGTTGTGTGGCCTCATGTCATTTTGTTTGGCTCAATGTCTCATTCTTCCTTTTTCTTAATGTCAAAATCTTGAATAATCCACCTTTTCTTGTCAACAGGGTCCAACAAAGTCCAATGAGCCTTCCTCTTCCAAAACCCGAAGAAATATTATGACCACCTTACCCTCAGACAATTTCAGCATAGCCTCTGGCATTGGTCCTTACAGTGAATTTCAGGTTTGTATGAACTTTTATTTTTGTGTCCTTTCCTCAACTTCAATTATGCCTGGCATTTAATGTATTGTAATCATATTGTTTGGCTCTGTTCAAAAAAAAAGTTAATTTTTCTTTTTTATTTCTGCAAATGTCTTGGGAGAAAGTGAATTTAGTTATTGAAATGTACAAAGTTTAAGATTAAAGATGGTGCACTTTTCCCATTTCAGTCGGGTCCTATTGTTAACAGCAGTATTATGCCAGGCTGCTCTCTCACTGGTCAGTACAGGTGTGATAGGTGTTTCTGTGTTGGCTCAGGTTCATTTTTATGGATATGCATCGGGTGGTATGGCTACCCCCTCAGTGGGAAATGCCATCCTCATTCTAGTTACAACTCTCATGTCGGGTGATCAGTAAGAGATTGGTAGTGGCTGAATTTTGTGGTCAGAACTTTCAGAACAGAAGCAGTGTGTATTGTAGCTTTGAAACTGTCTGTTGTGGAAAGTTGCATGCGTCCTATTTCGTATATTTCATGGCTAAATTCACAACTCCTAAGAATTTTGTGTTAACTTGTAATTTTGAAATGTCATTGTAGTACTAACATTTGTGTTTCATTGTTGTTTATTTTTGTGTCTCCATTTAGCTCGTTTTATTTTTATAATGAATGTTATTTTTGTTTTTCCAGAATCAGCTAGAGCTTATGAGTGCGGAGAAAGCCTGTCGGAGCTCTGTTGCGCCGAAAAGTTATTTGAGGGAGCTGAACACTCCTGTTTCCAACCCATCTAGTATGTCATCTACAACAAAGATGACACTTACCCCCGGTCGCATCACAACTGCCACTCACCTTACTGTCACTCCGGCTTCGTTAGCAGTCACTCCAATGAAGCCCCCTCGTCGTAATAATGTTTCAGCTACCCCAACTCCAGTGCGAAGAACCAGCACACGATTGAACCTGAAGAGCCCTGGTATCAAATCTCCGGCTCCTGGAAACTCTGCTAGACTTACAACTCCAAGGAGCCGTCTTCCCATTGTATTCTAGCTTTAATCAATTGTTCAAGCTGAAAATACGTGGATTGGAAATAGTTACTTGCTATTTTAGTTCGTGATTTATAGTGATATGTATTGGTGGGTGATGGGTTAACACTTCATTAACAGTGTTTCATTCATGCTTAATCATCCTTAAGTAATTGCAGTATTGTTGCTTTATGAGGACAGTATTGTTATGTGTATGTCTTGATATTTTATCTCTTGATTTATTGTTTTGTGATTAACCAGTGTCTTAAAGTTAGTATATTGTCTTTACCATGGCAGTAATTGCACTTTGTATATGTTGTATAATATGTTGAGAATGTAATGTTTATTTTTAACTTAATATTTTTATCTAAACTTTAATGCTTGTTTAGTTTCAATCTCACATAGTCTGTTGTAATACAGTTTTATTCAAATAAAAGCATATGATTACAAGTTTGATACTGAGAGATCGTTTTTATTCATTCTCTTTCTTTCTCTGCTTTGTTTGTGCTTGTTATAACCAGTGCTTTGACAAAATTTGGATTTTTTAATTTGGCTTTCTTTTTTTTTTTTTTTCAAGCACTCAATCCCAACTTTCAAAAATTTATCAAGTTGGTTTGTCAGTTGGGTCAAATTTGGCATTTGTACTAAGAAGGGTGTTGGAAAGTAAATTTAAGCTGCTGCTGCTCAGTTCAGTTGTAGAGCACTTTCCACTGCTCCTATGTGACTGCCCCCACGTGATTTTAACCAGAGGCCGTTAGGGGTTGATTACTAAATCCTCTCGCCACTGCCACTTGTCACAGCCACATTCTTGCTGTGGAGACCAGGCTGCACAGAAGAAAAGAGGCCATGTGAAGAGCTGTCAACGAGCTGCTGGAGTTGGAGCTTCGACTGCGACTGTATGCCTCGCTTCCAGGCCCCACAAACGGCTGGAGGTTGGTGCGGTTGTAGTTTTCGAAGTACCAGTTATGGGTTTCTCGAGAAATCTGCCAAACAGACAAAAACGTTAGTTCATACTAAAGACGCGCAGAGGGGGGCACCTCCTCACCTCGCTGAACCCTGGCCCCACCTGCTTTTGCGGAGTGCCACTGACTTGGCCTGGTGCCTCGGCGTAGTAGTAGTGGGGCCCCTTGGCGGAGCGAGGGATGGCCCCCGACTGGGGGTCGTCGGAGGCGGGCCCGGGGGCTGGACCTGGAGCCAGCCCGGCGCCCGAGCCCGGCGCCATGGCCACCCGCGTCACGCTGGACCGCGAGTGGGAGTGAGAGTGCGTCTCCGGCACCCCAGGCAGCTGTCCCCCTGGGGCGAGCAGCGCGGACAGGGCGGATCCGGGGCGCTCGAGGAGGGGGGACGCCGTGGTCCAGTCTGTGGGGGCAAACCGTACCGTTACTAACAGGGCGCAGGAGTGGTCCAGCCTCTCAAGTTCGGGTCACACAGTGCAGTTGCACCGTCGGCAGTCCCGCACGGCACCTACCGTAGGTCTCTTCCTCCGTGGAGGTGGAGAAGGTCGTGGCGACGGTGGACGCGGTGATGTCGGACAGCGACGTCTCCGGGCTGGGCGGCGTGCGCCCCTGGCTCACGTGCGCCAGCTCGCCCAGGTTGTAGATGACGGCCTGCTCCACCTGTCGCAAGGCACGCCGCTGTCGTAACCCTTTCTTAGCCCTGCCCCCGCGGGGTAACTTCAAACCGAGATATTTGTCAGAGTGGAGAAACGTACAGACAGTAGGGAAAACATCGAGTTTTGCGTTTAGGAGGAAGAGGAAGAAAGAAACTGAAACAGAAAAGAGTTGGAGCGTGTAATTTGGTGCAGGGCCTTGACCGTCCGAGTTCGCCAAGGCAGTGCGGATACGGATACATACACAGAGAAGGGAGACAGAGTGGCCTGCAGAAGGAGACGGAGTGACGGAGAGCAGTGGGAGTCAGAAGAAGAGGTTGGACAGGCCCCTCTTGAGGGCGAGGGCGGCGCTGTGGAGGTGTACCTCGATGGCGGGGTCCGTCGTGGTGGACGCCGCCGCCGTGACGGTGTACTGGTTGTTGGCGGCCGTGGCCGTGGAGGGCGCCGCGGTCGTGGTGGTGGGCTCCACCCGCGACACCGTGCCGTGCGCCTTGCCGTGCTGCAGCTGCTGCCCGAAGCCGGGCGGCCTGGTGGGGAAGGCCGGCGCCAGCCTCTCCCTGCTGCCGCTGCTGCCCGTCTCCCTGGACGACGTCTCGCGCGACGACGACAGCGACTCTCGCGACGAGTCTCGCGGGTACTCGCGCAGCGGCGCGGAGCCGCGGGGGATGGCGTCGTTGTCCTGCACGGACACCACAGTCACGAAGCCGGGCGGGCCGCCTGGAGGGATAGAAAATTCAAAATAAAAGAGAGACAAACAGAGCGCCAAGCCAAAGTTCGTCAGCCACAGCCTCGCCTCACCTTCGTTGGGCCGGCGCTGGTAGGTGGTGCGGACGCGGACGTTCTCCTCGCTGCTGTGGTGCTGCTTGATGCGCTCCTCGTGGCCGTCGCGGAAGTTGTAGTTCTCGGTGACGACGACGGGGCCGGAGGTGGACGTCACCAGGACGCCGCCGGGGAAGTGCCTGCACAGCAAGGGCGCCAGCGTCAACGTGAGCGGTTCGCTCGGCACGCGGCGCACAGTGGGCCAGAAGACCGGTGGAGGCGGCCAAGACTCTTGACCGCGCTCTTGACGCGTTTTGAGCTCCAGAGTCGCTAAATGGGACTCGAACCGATCGTGTGACCGCACCAATGGACTTCACGTTCGGAGAGCAATCCATTGATGGGGTCACACGTTCGGTTCGCGGCCCATTTAGCGACTCTGGAGCCCACTGCGCGGCGTCCGGACGAGGAACGCGATGAAACACCTACCGGTTGTCCGAAGCAATGTCCAGCTGCTGCCTGAAGATGTCGAGCTGCGGGCTGCTGGTGGGGCCGGCGCCGCCCAACGGGGTGAAGCCTCCCGGTCCGGGCACCATGGGCCGGAAGCCGCCGGCCATCGGGGACACGCGCACCACCGACGCGGTGGAGACGGGGGCGCCGGGGGCTGACGAGGCGGGGCCGGCAGTGGGCGCCGTGGCGGCCCCCGCGTCCCGGGCGGACGCCGTGGCGTTCTGAACAGGCAACGCGAGTGTGAAACAGATGCTGAGCCGTTCAGCCCATCTGTGAGACGCTCGAGTGCTTACCTCGAGCTCGCCGTTCCGGCTGGCCACCGGTTTGCCGTCCGCGTCCCTGGCGTGGCCGAAGATGCCGCCGATGTTCAGGGAGGGCATCTTGAGCGGGATGCCGAAGAACGTGAGCCCCCCAGAGCCCGGCGCCCCCGCGGCCCCGGGCGGCCCGGGCGGCATGCGCTTCGGGTCGTCGGCGGGGGTCATGCCGGGGCCCAGCCCTCCCGGCGGCCGCAGCTTGCTCCTGGTGCCGGCGTACAGCGTGGGCGTGCCCCCCGTCACGTAGTGCGGGTTGGTGCCCGGCGCCGCCGCGTGGCTGGCCGTCGCTGCGGCGGGGGGCGTCGTCGTGGGGCCGGTCGCCTGGTGCAGCGACGCCGTCGTCTGCTGCAGCACGTTGGCCGGCGTGGCCACCAAGGAGGCGTTGTTGATGGCGGTCGCGTTTTCGTCCACCTGGTACTCGACGTAGTCGTCGTAGAAGTACTCCGACTCCTCCGGCGACGGCGCCACGTTCTGCTGCGGCGTGGGCGTCGACCCGCGGACCTCAAGCGCCGTGGACACGATCTGCGACGGCCCGATGGCTGCAAAAGCCGTCAGCAAAATAATATCATTACGTAGTCGTTCTCTACTTGAGGATTTTCAAGAAGCTGTGGCCAAGGCCAGCCAAGGCGTACCGTTGGTGGGCGGCAAGTCGATGATCTCCGCGTCGCAGGCGGGGTTGCCCTGGTGGCGCGCCGCCATCGGGGCGGACTTGGCGGCCGCGTCGCACTCGGCCCTGGACACGCGGATCTCCTTGACCAGGGAGCCGTCGGCGCAGCGGGGGCCGTCCGCGGACTGCGCCTGCAGCTCGGCCTGGCCGGCCTGCCCCTCGGCCTCGGACTCCAGCAGCCACGAGTGCAGCCACAGCAGGTCGCACGAGCAGGACAGCGGGTTGCCTAAAAAAATATTCAAAATATTTAATTTTTAAACCAAATTTTGTAAAAATACAGTTAGAGGTAATCTTTTACAAATAACGCGGTTAGTTTACCGTTGAGCTGCAGCTGAGCCACGCTGTTTTTCAGCCGCTGGAACGTGGTCTCCGGAAGAGACGTCATCTTGTTGTTGTTGAGGCTGAGTACGCGCAGCCGGGGCATGTTGTTGAAGGGCACGCCCTGGATGTTGCAGATGCGGTTGTTGTCCATCTGTGGGTCAGAACCGTCATGTGAAATTTGCTTTGGAAAGTCCGGGTTGTGACCCGACATATTCTGTCGTTTTTCCTATTTCTTTACCTTGAGCTCGACGAGCCACTCCATGGCGTCGAGCGTGTCGGCCGCCACCCGGGACACCCGGTTGTGCGACAGGTCCAGCACCTCCAGGGACCGGAGTCGCTGCAGGCCGGCGTTCTCCAGGGCGGCGATCTGGTTGTAGGACATGTTGAGGTGCAGCAGGTGCGGCGCGCCGGCCAGGGCGCCGGCCGACACTTGGGACAGCTGGTTCTCCTGCAGGTCGCACTGCATCAGGTTGGCCACGTCGCTCAGCGCGCCCTCGGACAGCGTCTGCAGCCGGTTGCGCGCCAGGTTGAGCTGCTGCAGGGCCGGCAGCGAGTGGATCTGCAAGCAGGAAGGGCGCATACACTGTCAAAGTAGCGAATCCAATCAAAGAACGTGTCCAACAGTATCCACAACGTCACTGGCTGAACCCTGCTCCCTCCCTTGAGGCTGATTACGATAGAATTAACATAGGTTGCTGGGGGTCATCGGTCTGATCAGACTACGGCCAGGGCTGTTGAGACCCTGCCGCGGACATTTAATCCGAGGATCATATCAGTCCACTCATCATTTCGATTAGGTAATTACGGTAAGTAATTACGCCAACCGATGACACCAAATAAACGTATTCTGTGGTCTAGTATATGCAAGAGCGACCGAGGTCGACCGTGAGAAGTATGGCGACGTGGTTCTCCTGGTTGGCCGCCAGGCAGCAGCAGCAGCACCGCGCGCGGAGTATCGCCGAGGAGGCCGTCGGCGGGAAGGGGGCCCCCATTTGAATGGGTGCGCGCTGCGCGCCGCGGCACCGCGCCGCGCGGGTCCCCGGCCGTCGCCCAGTCCCGGTCCGCGCCGCGCGGCGCTCTTGATCACTGCACTGTAGGGAACTCACCGCGCGCGGCTGCAGGTTGTGCAGCTCGTTGCTGTCCAGGTCCAGCACTTGCAGCCGCGGCAGCCGCTCCACGGCGCCGGCGCGCAGCTCCCGCAGCTTGTTCTTGGCGAGGCGCAGCTCCTGCAGGCCGGCCAGGGCGGCGAGCGCGCCGGGGGCCAGCTCGCGCACGCGGTTGTGGGACAGGTCCAGCACGCGCAGCGAGGACAGCTGCAGCAGCGCCGACGGGATGTTGGGCAGGGCGTTGTGCGAGGCGCGGAACACCTCCAGGTTCCTGCAACAATTGTTAGGTTAGGTTAGGTCACGTTAGGTTAGGTTAGGTTAGGTTAGACGGACGGCGGGGCCATGTGTGTCAGTCGGACAGCGGCCGGCGGCGGCCGGGGCCTCGACGGGGACGTGCGGCAACGGCCAGGTCAAATCGCCGGGCCGTGAAATCTCTTTATCCACTTTGGGGCTTGGCTGCCAGCCTGGCTGCCACGCCGCAACGCCCCTCGCCCTAATCCTGGTTCACCACGCCTGGCGGCGCTGCGGCACTTCGATGCGCCTCGCCGGGCCCAGCTCGGCCTGTCTCAATCAGTGATTGGCGCGTAAAGGATAGGAACTCCGCGCCCAGGCCAAACTCGGCGCGAAAAATGCGCTTCGCCACGCCGGGGTCGCGTTAGTTGGCTTCAGGCCGCGTTAGTTGACGCGGCCGCGTTGTCACAGCCTTTATGAAGACGGTGCTCACCTGTTGCCGCGCATGGCGTCGGGCTCGATGCTGGCCAGCTGGTTCCTGGACAGGTCCAGGGTCTGCAGGCTGGACGCCTCCTGCAGCACGTCGGCCGGCAGCACCTCGAGGCGGTTGCCGCGCAGGTCTAGTTCGCGCAGCAGCCGCTGGTCCTGGAGGCTGCGTGGCAGCAGCGACGTCAGCCGGTTGCCGCGCAGCTCCAGCCGCTCCAGCCGGTTCAGCCCGGACAACGACCCTGCACCGGGGATGTAACTCAGTGGTAGAGTGTCTGCTTCGCATGCTGAAAGTCCTGGGTTCAAATCCCAGCATCTCCACCTTCTTTTTTCTCGCGTCACGGGCGCGGTACTCACCTGTCTCGAGGGTCTGCAGCGCGTTGCCGGACAGCATGAGCTGCTGCAGGCCCGGCATCTGGCGGAACGCCTCGGCGGACACACGCTTCAGGCCGTTGTTGGACAGGTCCAGGAGGCGCAGCGCGGGCAGGTTCATGTCGGGCGACGTGGGCGGCGGCAGCACCGTCACCTGGTTCATGGCCATGCGCAAGTACTCGACGCCGGGCGGCAGGCCGGGCACCATGTGGCTCAGGCGGTTGCGGCCCACGTCCAGCTCGAACAGGTTGAGCAGCATGCGGAAGGTGGCGGGCGACAGCATGGCCAGCGCGTTGGAGCTCAGGTTGACGTGCTCCAGGGCGGGCGTGTTGAGGAAGGAGCCGGGGTCCACGTGCGCGATGTTGTTGCCGCTGAGGTCCAGGCGGCGCAGCGACGGCAGGTTGGCGAGGAGCCGGGGGTCGCAGCGCCGGAACTGGTTGTACGACAAGTCCAACCCCTGGGGACAAAGAGAGACACATTCGAGTACCCTGCGGGAGGCTTTGAGGAGAACCACCACCGGGTGGAAGAGATATAAACCTTGAGGGCGGGCAGGTTCCAGTACGGCTGGTCCAGGTTGTTGCTGAGCATGTTGTGCGACAGGCGTAGCTCGCGCAGGGACGGCATGTTGTTGAACGAGTCCCGGAACACGCGGTGCACGCGGTTGCGGTCCAGGTGCAGCCTCTCCAGCGACCCGTGCCCGCGGCCCAGCGCGCCCATGCCGATCTGGAGACAGTTCAGGCCTGAGTCGGTGTCGCTATGGACTTGTGGACGGGCAGCGCCCAGGTGGGTTGCCGCTCACCTCAACGATGTTGTTGTCGGACACGTCCAGGAAGCGGAGCCGTGGCAAGGACTCCAGCACGGCGCGGACGGCGTCGGCCGAGTCCAGGGAGTTTTCCTGCAGGTATAGCTGGTCCAGGTTGGACGTCGAGTGCTAAAATGTTCGAGTTTCGGTTAGAATATGATTATTTTCAACGGGGCTGATAGCGTATGACGTTCAGGGCGGTATACTCACGTGAAGGAAGGCCTCCGGGTGGATGACGCGGACCTGGTTGCGGCTCAAGTCCAGGTTGCGCAGGGCGGGCAGCCTCTGGAAGGCGCCGTGCTGCAGCTCGATGATCTTGTTGCCGGCCAGCGACAGCTCCCGCAGCGCGGGCAGGTCGGCGAAGGACGCGGACGGCAGGATCTCGAGGGCGTTGTCGTCCAGCCGGAGCGCGGCGAGCGACGGCAGGTCGTGCAGCGCGCGGCCCACCATGGCGGCGTCGGAGAGCTTGTTGCCGCGCAGCGTGACCTCGGCTAGCGCGGGCAGGCGCTGCAGGGCGCGCGGGTGGATCCACGTCAGCCCGCTGTCCGAGATGTTGACGGCCGACAGGCGCGGCAGGTCGCTCACCGAGCCCGCGTCCAGCGAGGCCAGGCGCGGCGAACTCACCACGTGCAGCTGCTCGAGGTAGGGCAGGTTGGCCAGGTGCCCCGGCGGCACCTCCCACAGCATGGCGGACTGCACGAGCACGTAGCGGAGTCGCGGCAGCCCCGCCAGGCGCGGCAGCCGCTGCATCTCGCCGCACTGCAGCGTGACGGCCTCCAGCCGCTTGAACGGCGTCAGCGAGTCGTCCGGGAAGGCGCGCAGCAGCGGCTCCACCAGGAACAGCTCCAGCAGCGAGTCCTCCAGGCCGGCCAGCCAGGTGGCCGCCACCGTCTCCAGCCCGTTGTCGCGCAGCATGAGCCTGGACACGCGCAGCCCCGTGGGCCCCGCCAGCGCCGCCCCGCCCAGCGAGGTCCACGCGTTGTTCTCCAGGATGAGCTCGTCCAGCGGCCGCGTCGGCAGCAGGCGCGCCACGTTGCGCAGCGCGGCCAGCACGGAGGGCAGCTCGCTGTGGCTGCACCTGATGCCAGCGCCGCGGGTCAGACGATTCGCCTCCGTCGCACAGTGGGCCAGAAGGCCGGTGGAGGCGGACAACACTCTAGACGCGTTTTGAGCTCCAGAGTCACCAAACAGGACTCGAACCGAACGCGTGACCCCACCAATGGTTTCCTCGTTCGGAGAGCCATCCATTGGTGGGGTCACACGTTCGGTTCGAGTCCCATTTAGCGACGCTGGAGCTCAATACGCGTCTAGAGTTTTGGCCGCCTCCATCTGCCTTCTGGCCCACTGAGCGTCGCAGTGTAACGGCAGAAACAGGCGCACGCACTTACCAAATCTGAATTTCGTCTCCCCTCAGACTGCACCGGCACGGTGAGATCTCGTCCTCGGTGGGGCAGGTGGTCGCGGCCTGCGCGCTCTGCCCCGCCACCCCGCTCCACGCCCCGCTCCCCGCCAGCAGGCAGAGCAGTGCCGCCCCCAGCAGGGCGTCTCTCCACGGCAGCCACCCCCAGCGCCGCCCCCGACCGGGGCCGCTAGCGGGGGCGGACGCGGGGGCGCACTCCACGGCCCTGGGGCCGGCGCGCCATCGTCTCTGCGGAACAAAGAACACACGGCCGCGTTCAGGATCAAAGGACTCAGGGCCCCTAGTGTGCCAGCCCTGGGTCTTGCACCCTTGCACCTTGAACAAGGTGGAACATTGAACCGACGCCGGGCCATCGGATATCACTCCCGTCTGGCGACGCCGCGAGCACAGCGACTCTGAAAGGCACTTCACGGAGGCACATGGCTGCGGGCCGCGCGCGGTGCAGGTGCTTTATGGCGTGTGACCAAGCGAGGGCGCAAGTGAAGAGGATGATCCCGTTGTAGCGCCCGGTTGTGCGCAGCGGCGGCGCCGCGGACGGATAAGACAAGGCGGCTGCACTTTCGAAACGGACCGGCGGACCTAGCATGCGAAGTTAGGCAGACAGGCAGATGCCAAATGGAAGTTGTCACTGAAAGTTGTTCACAATTTAAACGAGGATGATGATTTCTCGAAGGGAGAGAAGTAGCGACCTCGGACGGATCGGAGGGACCTGAATGCACGTCGGGGCCCACCGAGACGACGCCAGACGTGGCCGCCGTACCGAGGTCAGTGTGGTGACCCAAAAAGGCGGGTCAGGCTGCAGGACTCGGTCAGGACGCACGCATAAAGCCGCGTACGGCCGCAGCAGCAGCAAGCAGGCTTCCCTGTAGTTTTCTTGTGTAGCGGCGTGAGGTCCGGAGAGAGAGAGAGGGGGGGGGAAGGGGTGGCCACTCGCCTGGAACGCATTTCAATGGGGAAGGTCCGACTGGTCTGGAGAACACGCGAGCCGAGCCGGTCCGAGTCCAGCCGAGCCGGTTGGAGCCGAGCCGAGCCGAACCGAGCCGAACCGAACCGAGCCGAGCCGAGCCGAGCCGAGCCAGGACGAGACGCTCCGTAAACGGCCCTAAGAGATGGGCGGCGCGACGACCAAAGACGCAAACACAATGACATAAAAATCTCGTGAAGAAACACCACGTGACGTTCATAAGTGCAAAGTGCGGATTGGGTATTGGGTCCGCAAACTGTGGGTAAGCAAAGGCAGGACATTCCAAAAATTAAAAACAGGGGAGTGATGTTTTCTTTCCTCTTTTTCTCTCGCTGCGTTTACCCCTCGGCGGAGCGGCACGGAAACCGCGGTGGCGTCCAGTCCACTGCCCACCAGTGGCGTGCCGTCCGCGGGCGGCCAGCGAAAGTGCTGTCCTCGCGCTTTGGGCCATGCAAATGAGCCGCGCTTCCCCGCGGCGCGGCGGGGGTTTGCTTTGCCTTTGCCCCTCGCCGCGCCACTGCCGGCCGCCATCCGGCCGACATGACAGCGGCGTGGCCGGCGTGGCAGTGGCGTAGCCGTGGCCTAGCCCGGCGCCCGGCCAAGACAATCGATGTGGTGCTGCAATATCGTAACATCCGTCCGCCCGGCCCGCCTTGCCAACGCGCCAGTCCGCGCCATAGAGCCATCACTTAACAATAACAGGCTGGCCTCCGCGGTGATGACAGTGGCGTGGCGGGCGGCGGGCTGCAGTGCAGGCTGCAGGTGGCGAAAGCCCGCCGGACCGCGAACCGCGCGAGGACGGCGACGACGACGCGCCGAAACGTCAAGAAGCAACGAGCAGTGCGTCGCCGCGGCGTTGCGTCACGGCACGGGGTCCTCCCCTTTCACCTCTTGCGGTCGGCATTGAACAGGGTGTGACACGAAGCCCGCGCCCGCCCGCGCCCCGCAACATCCTGTAACGTTCCGGCCCGTTCCGGATCAGCAGGCCGGGGCGACGACGCCGCGCGCGCCCACTGGGGCAGCGGCTACCAAGGACGGCGCCGTGACGTCGTCGACGCCGCCGTCGTCACCCCGGCGAGGAGGAAGACAGAAGACACCGGGGGTAATTCGTGGAATTGTAATGCGCGCGCGTGGGCGGCGGCGGCAGCGCGGCAGCGCGGCAGCTCAGCGGAAAGTTGGATGCCCTGGCCGCCGCCACGCCGCCGCCACGGTGTCGCACCGCATCGCAGACTCGGCAGCCCCGTTGATACGCACAGCCTCATCACAGAACCATCCAAATGTCTGCCTGGCTTCTGTCCGTCTGTCTGCCTCTGCCTTCTGTCTGGCCGACGGCCCGTCGCGAGGCTAGGGCCAGGCCTAGATTTTACGCGCCGCTACTCGGACGAGTACCGGACGGAAGGAGCGTCGCGTCGCGTCGAGGTTGCCGGATCAAAATGGACCGCCACCGCACAGTGGGCCAGAAGACCGGTGGAGGCGGCCAAAACCCCGGACGCGTTTTGAGCTCCAGAGTCGCTAAACGGGACTCGAACCGAACGTGTGACCCCACCAATGGATTGCTCTCCGAACGAGGAATCCCTGGAGCACTGCGAGGTGCGGGACTAAACTTACGAAAACGAACGACTGGTCGTATTCACCAGTGTGCGTGTTCCCGCCGCCGTCGGAGATGACGGCCTGTCACGCTTTGGGGGACTGTCACACATACTCACACACTCACGCACGCACAGGCTCGCACGCGCTCGGAGAAGTGGGCTAAGTTCATCTCCAATTCCTCCGCACGGCGTCGTGGCCAAAGTGGCATGGAGCGTAAAGCGGCCGAGCGCTGCTCCCCCCGTGGCCGATGTGCCATGTGCCCCGCTAACGGTGTGGCGGCGTGGTGGAGTGAGTGCACCGCCAGCCAGCGCCCCCCCCCCCTTTTCCCCTTCCCCCTCGCCACGCCCGGAGTCGTCCTTCACACTTGGCGCCCAGAAATAAAGAAGGTGCGAGCAGGGCGAACCCGTTACACAACGTATATACTATACACTTCATCGTCAGCTAAACGCGTGAGTCCGCCGGCGACTGGGGTGGCGCATGGCGCATGGCGCATGATGGCGCATGGCGCATGGCGCATGGCGCATGGCGCATGCCGCGGCCAAGTCGTCTTTCTCATGGCCCATGGCTCATGTGCAAGCGACAAGACAGCATAACACGTTCCGTCGCCCCCCGCGAGTCGCGAGGCGCGAGGCCCGAGGCCTTCCCTCCTGGATGACGACAGCGGCGACGATAACACGAAAGGGATGATGTGTGCCCGCGCTGGCGCGCTGGCAGTCCCCATTGTCGCATCCCTGGCTGCTGGCGGCGCTGGCGGCGCTGAGGCGGTGCCCCGCGACTTCCCGGAGGCCCCCGGGCCTGCTCCGCGTGCTGCAGCATGGCACGGCAGCACTGCTGCTTGCCTTGCTTGCCGGGCCACGCTCCAAGGCCCGCCGCCTGCCGTCCTGCCCTGCCGCCGTCGCCGTCCTGACGGACACATTGTTGAGCGGCCACGCCACGCGGACACGCCTGCACGCGCACGCCGCGCACGCGGAGGCTGGACGCCGCACGCCACAGCACGCGACAGCGTCGTAATGCCGTCCCCGCAGGCCGTCGCTCTGTCTCTCTCGCACTCGTGGGGCGGCCCCGAGGGGTGCGTGAGGGACAGAGCGGCGAAGACCATGTTCGGAATCAGCTTGCTGCGGCGCGTGCGGGCCTTGCACAGTGGGCCAGAAGACCGGTGGAGGCGGCCAAAACTCTAGACGCGTTTTGAGATCCAGAGTCGCTAAATGGGACTCGAACCTAACGTGTGACCACACCAATGGATTGCTCTCCGAACGATGAATCCATTGGTGGGGTCACACGCTCGGTTCGAGTCCTGTTCAGCTACTCTGGAGCTCGCTCAAAACGCGTCGGGAGTTTTGGCCGCCTCCACCGGTCTTCTGGCCCACTGTGGCTTGGTGGAGCGCCTGGCGCTTAGGCCGCCGCGGTGCTCTCCTGTGCGCCGGGCCGGCCCGCCACACGGCTGACACGATGCCTCCGGTGATCCGCGACGCACAGCGACGACGGCGACGCAGCGCGTCCTCGACGGACGGACGGGCGGACGCGCTCATGCTCGCCGCCAAGAAAGCCCTCCTCCCCGTATCTGCGGCCTGGCTTCCTTTCTCCACATCCTCCTCCTGATGCTCGTCTCCCCGTCGCGCTCCGCTGCGCCGAAGGCCCGAAGGCCCGAAGGGCTGGCCGGGCTGGCTGCGCTGGCGCTCGGTCACGTGGCCGAGGAGGCCGAGACCCGACAGGCCGATTCTGAACAGCGCTTTGTCGCTCTGTCTCTCTCGCACCCCGACGGGACAACCCGTGCGTGCGAGAGAGACAGAGCGACGAAAGCACGATGAGTGCATTACGGCGTTATTTGCACTCCTCGGACTTTCACTCGGATGTCGCCGCGTGGCCCACCGCCCCGCCCCGCCCCGGCCCGCCGCGACAGTGACCACACCAAGAAAGCAAAGCAGTGCGCCGTGCCGCTGCGGTTTCAGATGCACAAAGAAAAAGAAGAAACTAGATTTCTTGTCCCAATAGATGCTTTGTTCCATCAGCCAAAACACGCGTTGGAGTACGAAAACTCCACTGGCTTGGACGAAAAGCCAACCAAAAATGTTTAGTCAGACAAATGAACAGTGTTTTCCTTTTCTTTTCCCGTCGCGTTCGTCGTCGCGCACGGCGGGAAGGAGATGCAGGAAGCGATTCTCCTCGGCGACCGCAGCGTCGCGCGGACCGCGGTCAAGCAGTGCACTGCAGTGGCGTGGCTCCCGGTGCCGCCCCTCGCCGGCCATTGTCACCTCGGCGGCGAAGCGGCGGCCAAAACCGCATCGCTAATGCAACACGACGCCGCCGAGCCGCCGGCCCAGCCGAGGGGTCGAAGCGTGCCGCGTGCCTCGGAGATGGAGAGTGCCTCTCGACCGCCGTTAGTGGTTCATCTCATTTACTTTTTATCCCCTCCGCTTTTCGGGACTTCGTGCTCCTGGCGACCGACACCGCTCTCCCGATTGACGGACAACTTCCGCAGTCTCGGTGCGGCCGCGGC